AAATTAACAGCCAGCCTGAGTTGAAAGAGTTTCTCATAAAGGGAAAGATGGAGAAATAGAGTGAAAGAGGGAAAAATAAAGAACATCAGTGATCTGAAAGAAAGAAAAAAGGCAGAAGAGAAGGTTTTGGAAACAAGCACAGAGAGAAAGTCCAGCAGGGTCTAAACACACAACCACCGAGAACTTTAGGAATCAAGGAGCAGGCAGCTACTTGCTGGTGAACTATTAAGATGTAGAACTTGACATGTGCAAAAACAGAATTGTTATGATGCGTCTTGTGATATTATGTAAGTTGTTAAGGTTTAATTGTCATTTTGAAAGAAATAATACCTTGTTTTCTACTAGTGTGTCACCACCGTCAGCACCTTGTCAACTCCATAATATGGAGTTTTTCTTTATTTTTCTCTTTTGGAGAACCATATATTTTCCTCCCTCATGATCTTCCAATAGAAATATGTAGTTTTTTCAATAAATGTGTAATTTGCATGCTGCTAAATATGATTGTTTCTTATAGGGATTAAATACAAGCTTCTGAAAATATGTATGACTGTAACTCTAATAATAAAAAGCCAAAGAATCTTACTCTTAAACATGGTTTTTAGTTTGAAAACATATGTGCATAAACAGTAGAATAGAGAAGCTACTAATAGTCAAAATAGCTGAAACAACTTAATTTATAATATGTATTTTTGCATTTCTTTGTGTCAGATGGTGTTGACTAAACGTTGCACTTCTCCAGCAAAAACATAAATTATTAAAAAATGTTACACCTGGGAGATTGTACCAAAACACGGTGAGACGGCCAAAACTTTGTGTAACAATTATATGTAAATATGTTTTTGAAAAATCAAAAAATATATTTTAGAAAATTAAAACCTGTTTTGTCCCTAATCTCAGGAATCACTGGAATGTGTTAACTCAAGAAGGAAGTAACCTAGGATATCCAAAGTCATCCCATAGGGGCAGCTACTAAAATATTGGAAAGCGTCAAATGCCTGTCAACTTTTCTGAAAAACACCTAGGACTTTTAAAATTATACCATGGGTTCATCTACTAACTGCAACCACCATTATTTTCTTTTCAACCGTCCTCTTACCAAATATCGTGTAGTGTTAAATGCAGGTAAACTAAATTAATAATTCATCACAAAGGTTGGACTTCAAGGATTTTCTTGTAGTCAGGGAGATGACCAAGAACCCGATGTTTTGACAAAGCTGCAGTATTGTCCTGTGAAGACAGGAGAAGGTTTTTTTTCTGCAGCACTCCACCAATGTGGCTTGTATGGCAGAGTGGTCAGTTGAAAGCCACATTTCAGTAAAAGACACCTTTTACCCTTTATACTGCCAGACCATGAATTGCAGCCTTTCCCCAAGCTGTCTGTGAATGGTACTCTTGGCCATTGATAGCAACAAATACTTCTGGCACAACTTCACCTACTTCCAAGGTGCATGAAGAAGATAAAGATAAATAAAAAAATAAAATATCCTCACATGAGAGCTATCTTTTATGTAAGAATTTAGAAACCAAGAAACCTCCAAAACTTAAATCCAATCTTGTCTTTTGCACAACCTTCACACCAAAAACCAGAAACATTAAAGAAATTATTTTAAAACATTGGATCATTTTGAAGGATATGCCAAACTTATTAGGGACCTTTAAAGAACCACCAATGATAACTCATAAGAGAGGTAAAAATATTAGAGATGGGCTAAAATGCCTTGATGCATTAAGATAAGATAAGATAAGATA